TCAAACAAAATCTTTGGAAAAGAACCGCGACAAAAAAAAAATAAGGGGGGATTGTTACACTACCTAAAAAAAATAAAATATTTTTTTCTTCGACTTTGATCCCTCAAAAAGACAATCGAGGAAATTCATCGTCGGAAAAAGCCAAAAAAAAAAAAAAATCAATCAAAGAAACGAACACAAACACACATATACATATATACGTCTCTCACCCCACTTTAAATTGTGGCATGTCCCCATGACACACAAATAAGAAGCAATAGGTAAAGAAAACTTCCCTGATTCATCTAGTCGGGGTCCGAATTGAAGTCGGAATCTCCTTTGCATGCCCGTCCCAGTGCACACATCCATACCGATAGCTTCTTTTTCGCCTTCTTTGGGTACACCCCACATTTATCAGTTCTAATCTCTACAAGTTGCCACTTTAGGGATCCCTTTCTCCTTCCATCTTGAAGATCAGCCTTTCTTCCCCCACTCTGAGCATGAGATGCCTTTCCTGAATATCCAGAATTGCTCTGCCCGTAGCCAAGAAATGTCTTCCTAAAATCAGAGGGACCTCCCTATTCTCCTATATGTTCACCACAATGAAGTCTACAGGTAACACAAGTTTGTCTACCCGAACTAACACATATTCTACTATTCCTTCATGTATGATTGTGGTCTGATCCGCCAGCTGCACGGATACTGGTATCGACCTGATTCCTTCTATCTTTCCCTTAAATTTTCTGAAAATAGACAAAGGCATAAGATTAATAGAAGCACTTGAGTCACACAAAGATTTTTTAAACTTAGTACTTCCTAAAGAGTAAGGTATTGTAAAACTTCCTCGATCTTCATACTTTTGGGAGAGCTTATTTTGCAGGATGGCACTACAATGTTCTGTGAGCATGACCAGTGATGTCTCTTCTACTTTCCACTTCTCGGACAATATATCTTTCAAGAATTTAGCATAAGCCGGCATCTGTAAAAACACCTCTGTGAAATGTATATTCACATGCAGGTGCTTGAACACTTCTAGAAAGCGCCCGAATTGTTTGTCCAACTTCTCTCTTCTCTACTTAATGTGGAAAAGGTAGAGCATGCATGTATTTACTTTCTTCAGTCTATTCATTTGTTGCATTCTCATCTTTCTTCTTCTTCTTCTTCTTCTTCTTCTTCTTCTTCTTCTTCTTCTTCTTCTTCTTCTTCTTCTTCTAAGCTCTAGTCTTCCCCTTCTTCTTCTTCTTCAAACCATCATCTACCATCATTGCACCCTTTTTAATGTTATCATTTTTCTGCTCCCACAATCTCCACTTTTCTTTCAATCAACTCATCCTTTTGTTTTGCCCTGAGATCCTATAATTCGTGCCCACTCCTCAAAGACACCGTATTTATTGTCTCTTTTGGGTTTCTCTCAGTATTAGCCACCTGAGCCGAAACAAGAAATTACTCGAAGAAAATCACATAGGCGCGCCACACCATGCGCCGCCCCATGTGGGGCATTAGTGGAAAAGTTTAGAGGGCGACTTTTTGACAAGCAGCAGACATTTCCACTGCCGCGTCGCCCCACGCGCCCGGCAGTGGACTTTTTACAGAGTGCTGTTGTTTTGTCGATTTTTGATATCCAGACGCGACCCTCGACCCCAGAACGCGATCCCGATTTAATCACTTGGGATTTTACTCATACTTCAAAGCTCCAACTTGTCTGATTCAACACCCGATTATCTTTTTAACTCGAAATCACTTCCTGCAAGGCATAAAACGCACAATAAGTGCAACTTACTATCATTCAGGCTCAAACACACATAAAATGCAGTAATTAGAGCGCAAACTATGACTAAAACACGGAATTCTAGACTACCATCATGAGTCATTAGTAAACTTGGCATATAACGAGTGATATAATTAAAGTAATTTCGTTGTTGAATGAGGTTATAAATTTATGATGTTTCCTAATCGTATGTTGTATTGGACTTTATTTTTATTATGCTTGAATATGACATATATTAAGTTAATCTCTTTTTTTATTTTAAAATTGTGTTATATTTATGGTTCCAATTCACTTGTTTTAATAGTATTGACTTGTTATTTTGCCTTGGATGTTGTTCATTTTTTAGTTAGAATTGATAGATTTGTTTTGTCAAACATTTGGATAATGTTATGACATTATATTTCTAAATATTAATTTATTTTATCAAACATGCATTCCATGACGTTCTTACAAAAATTATGTTTTAGTTTATATAATTAATTAATCTAAATATTATTAATTTATAAAATATATATCAATTAATTTTACAATATTAGTTGTAAATATATGACTAGTGTTAGAACCCGCGCGATGCGCAGAATAATTGACAGAATATTAATCTTATAAAATTATGATACAATATATCATATTATTTTAATTAATATTAGTTATTTTTTTATAGAATTTACAGAAACTTAACAAAATCCATACAAAATCAAATGATACACATCATATAGTAATCAAATAAAATATTTATTCCTTGTTTATTCTTTATTAAATTAGCAAGTAGTTAGTATGATACATTTACTAATGTGTCTTTTTATTAAGGCCAAATATATAGATAGCCCCTTAAACTTGTCACTATTTTTCACTTAGGCACTTTAACCGAGTCTATTACATGTTAGACACTTTAACCGTGTACAAAATGTGCCAATTAAATACCTCATGATGAGGTGACATAGAGAGTGATTTACACTCGCTCTTGAGCGCGTGATTAACTAAAATGTTTAAAAGAATTTCTTTCTTCTTTCTTTCTTTTTCTTCTTCTTCTTTCTCTTGGCTTAATATTTTGATACTACTTCTCTTTTAATATAACATAAGTATATATTTTCTTATTCCCGAATTTTTTTTATACTTATGTTATACTGTTCAAAATTCTTCAATTGTCTAAATTTATCAATAATTTTCTTGAATGTTATTTATTAATTTAAAATATAAATATTATAAAATTATCTTTATCCCCTATTTTCGTATATTCTTTTCTACTGTAATATTTGATTAGTTTTCTCATTTTGTATTTTACTGAAAATTTAAATAATATTTTTTTAATAAATTATAATTTTGAATTCATCAAAAAGTATAAGGAGATAAACCTTTTATTATTTTTTATAAAAAATATACTAATAATGTTAATAATTAATAATTTGTGTTTTATATATAATATATTATCTTATGTATAATATCCTAATAGTTTCTTTACATTTTTGTATTTTTCATTATGAAATTACGAGTTCTATTTATTAACTAAAATTTCCTACATGAGAAATTTAATTAGTATATAAATTTTTATGTTTTTTTTAGTATTCTCCCTTTATGATTGTTTGTTTATTATGATTTTAGTTATGTGTATATCTACGACTTTTCTTGTAATAATTCTAATTATACGTCTTATATTTTTATATTTTTCCATACATTTATATTTTATTTCTTCTTTGTTCATTGCTTATCTAATTGTATTATCCATTATTTAATATTATTAAATCGATATTCGAATCTATCTATATAGAATAGGAGAAGCAAAAATAATATATTACGACAAGTGGCATAACCACAAAAGCCAGGTGGCATTGTTAATTCAAATAAACTACCTTTCTAACTAAAAACTTTTTGAATTCTAAATTTTGAATTAATTAGTTACTCTACTTGAATTAATAAATATAGATATCTTATAATTATATGTAAAAAATAAAAATATTAAAAAAATAAATAACTCATTCAAATTTCGGAGTAGTTTCAAGTTGGAATTTTAAAATTATTTTAAAATAAAAAATAAAAAATTACCAATTCAAATTGGGGAGTAGTAGATAATTATATGATGCCAAGTGGCATAACCATAAGACGACAAGTGTAGATTTTTAGGAAAAAGCTCCAACAAAGTTGGAGTTTTAAAATTATTTTAAAATAAAAACGAAATAAAAAAATTAAAAAGTTTCCAATTCAAATTGGGGAGTAGTTTCAAGTTGGAGTTTTAAAATTATTTAAAATAAAATAAAAATAAGGAAATAAAAAAATTTCAATTCAAATTTGGGATTAGTTATTATACTAAACTGGTAAATTATTAAATATTCGTATATCGATTTAATAGTATTAAAAATTCTATATAGATAGATTTGAATTGGTAACTTTTTTTTAATGTCGTTTTTTAGTTTAAAATAATTTGAAAGTTTTGTCCTAAAAATCTACGCTAATTGTCTTATAGTTACGCTAATTCTATTAAAAATCTACGCTAATTGTCTTATAATATATATATATTTATTTATATTATGAAGAAATTACTCCCCAATTTGAATTGGTGATTCTTTATTTATTTATTTTATTAATTTTTATTTAAAATAATTTTAAAATTCTGATTTAAAACTACTCCCCAATTTGAATGAATAGTTTATTTTTTTATATTTTTATTTTTTATAGATAATTATAAGATATTTATATTTATTAATTCAAGTAGAGTAATCAATTAACTCAAAATTAAAAATTCAAAAAGTTTTTAGTTAGAAAGGTAGTTTATTTTGAATTAACAATGCCACTTGACTTTTTGTGGTTATGCCACTTGTTTTAATATAATGCGTTTGTTTCTCTTATTCTATATAGATAGAAGATTACTAATTAATGTATATTCAAGAAAAAATATGCATCTCAAATACCTAATCTAATATCATTTATACTTATAAAAAATTATTTATAGGCATATATCTATTATATTAAATTTTAAGTTTTGATAATTACTTTATTTAAAATTTAATTTAACTGTATAATTACACTTGTGTAATTAAACGGTATATCTGTAATTACATTATAATTACGTTATGACAAACAAACAGGTACTCGTAATTACTATATTGTGTAATTACTGCCCTAGGCTTTAGACGTTCTAAACAGACCCTAACTTAACTTTTCCAACAAATAAAGTTAATTAGGGAGTAATTTGAGAATTGTCTTCCAAGGCATTACGCTACTAGCAATATAAGGTTAAAACTTAAAACTTACATATTATAACCAAAGGGTCACCAATAGGAACCATTTATTGAAACTCTCAAAAACCCTCTGAAAGTAGAACCAAAGTCACTGTGTGTGTGTGTGTGTGTGTGTGAGAGAGAGAGAGAGAGAGAGAGAGATGGCAAAAGATAGTTGTCTAGCGAGAATAACTGCTGGGGTTGCTGTGGGCGGTGCAGTTGGTGGCGCTGTTGGTAAT